TAACATTCGTCACTAATACAATCAACAACTCGCAAAATAAAAATTCCACCATCCACATTATTAAATCCCAAAAAAGACAGTAACGCAATATAGCAAAATAAAATCCATCCATAAAGTCCCAAGAGTATTAATAACCAGCGCTCAGCAACAAATCCAATAATCGACCCGAAATCACCGATAAAACTAATGACAACACCGAGACACAAACACCAAAAAAAAAGGAGCTCGTAATAAAATAAATAACAGCAAAACATCCACTCGAATTTATCCCATTATCTACCAGTCTAACCAGACTCACTTTAACGAGGCAAAATGTCGCAACTCGGCGCAAAGTATTTCCACAGCGGACGTTTAGCGCCCTTGATGGATTAATCTAACCCCGAGACGATCCCTCGCGTCGGCAATACTCGCGAATTTGTCTTTCACGTAGCCAACTAAAGCGCAGGGGAGCAAGAAAGTGGAAGGTTCAGGTCGCTTTTCGCGGTTTTAACCCGCGAACCGAATCAAGAACTACAAACAAGCCCCCCCAGTTATCGAATTACCGGACGTAGTTTGTCGCCGTGCCAGTCCAGACTGATTAACCCTTGAGGACGGCGGGGAAAAAAAGAGAAAAAAAAAAACATTCAAGCACTCGGGGAAAAATTTAAATTCGGAACGTACCTGTATGTCCGCGGAGAAAGAGTTTTCCAAATGAAATTTTTCGTGAACGAATCTACAGCGATCAACCGCGGTGCAACCGTCTCTCATGTTGAGTTGAAAGCGTCGAATTGAAGGAATTTAAATGGTACTTAACGAAGTTGGTTGTTGGATTTTTACTCGGTGAAATTAGATTTAGATGGAATTAACCGGTCTCTCTTGTTTGATATTTCAAGGGGAATAGTTGTTTGATTTAGCGTGCATGATTATTAAACGATACGGGAGTGTGAATTTAGGTTATTGAAGATTCGAATTACCGCGGTATAGGGTACTGTGTAAAATCAGATGAGCGTTTATTGACTTTACGAGATAGTTCGATTGGAACTGAGTTGAATCGGTGTTTGGATAATTGGAAGCACTATCAATAGGTGCTCAAACTATCAAGTGTCTATTGCTGCATATGATTACTGTTGTGACACCTCTTCCGTTTAATCCTGATCATTTCTGTCGCGTTACGTGTGTTTTGTTTGGAATTTTTAACGATACGATGTTTCTATTCGATAAATAAGCTTAATTAAGTAGATTTGGATGGACGTAGTCAGACCTCATACTTTTTCCCATCGTATTTTTAATTCAGTGAGATCAGAAAGAGCATAAGTCACTCTTGCTCAATTCTTCAGAAGCAAGGAAAAATTATTTTTTACAAAAATGATCGACAATAAAATTTTTTAAATATGCATACTTATAATAACGTAATAAATGAAAATGTAAGTTTCCTTGTTAATAGTAGTGCACGATATTTCTATTTTAAATTTTATGACTTATGAATTACCCAAAATAATACAGATTTACAAAATTACACATAAAGCTATAATTTCGAACTGAAAAAGAAATTGAAAATAAAAAATAACGAAGTACTTTTGTTGTTTCTGTCTCACTTTACAGATCGCTACTGTATTTCACCATTTGCTTATACATATGTGATTTATCTAAATGTGAACAACATGATTCAGTGTAAAACTAAATTAAAAAGAAAATTCACTTATATTGCTTCTGATCTCGTTGTTTCAACTATAATCCTTATTATTCATTCTCTCACTCTGAATTTTTCAAACGATTTATTTAATCATTCAAATTTCTTACTTTATCGAAACCTTTTCCTTGTTATTTATCGAAATTCCAAATCCATCGTATTGTTTACATTCTCCTCGCTATTCATTCTTTCACTCATAAGTAACTTTCGAAATAACGGAATTTCCACATTATCGAAATCTTTTCCCTCTTTTCTCTCTTTATTTACCAAAATTCCAAATCCGTCACGTTGTCCAACCTTTTAGCTACGGCAGGACTTTCCGCTCCTCCGTTTCCGCAGGACTGCGCGTAAACAACATAGCACTGCGATTTGTGTCTATTTAGTGTCGTCTCTTCTTATACATAATAATTAATAATACAATTGTGTATGATATACTTTGAAACAGAGACGGAATGAGCCACTATAGTGGCGTACTGTTCAGAGTGAAGGCATACGCGAAAGCCACTTTAGTGGCGTACCGTTCAAAAAGATGACATTCGCGAAAGCCACTATAGCGGCTTACAGTAGCTAGAAGGTTAATCACCGTGCATTTCCGAAATACATAAATACCCAGCTGTTTCAACTGGAACGTTCACGATCGATATACCTATGCGATATACCATTTAAAGAGTTAAGAGGAAGAACGAAAGCCAGATAGTCGCGAAGCTTTCTTCGTTGGAGTTTCGAAAGCTATTCACAAGGTTGCTTGGTTGTGTTCTCGATCAGACGTTAACGAGTGCTTGGTGAATAATGGGCACGGGCCGTGCCAAGGCACTTGCATCAATCTCGAAGGGAGCTACGAGTGTAGCTGCTCCGATATTCCCGGTCACAAATTGGCTCCGGATAATCACACCTGCGAGGATATCGACGAGTGCTCAACGAACAACGGCGGATGTTCTCATGTTTGTTTGAACACACCTGGAAGCGCCTTCTGCCTCTGTCCAGATGGGTTTTATCTAACGAGCGACTGGAAAATCTGCCAAGGTAAAACACTTGGACATCCGGTGCAGGGAATGTTTAATATCCTTAATGGAGGATTATATTCAAAATTATTGTGGTTGATTTGTAATTTTTGAATGCGTTTTATATTTAGTTTTTGGTTTAGCCCTTTCGCTGCTGTTGACGCCTGTAGGCGCTTTGGAAATTTTCTCGCGCTGTGATTTTGCCGCCTATAGCAGTTTTGGAAATTTTAATCCTTTCACTGTTGTAAGCGCCTATAGGTGCTTTGGAAATTTTCTCGTGTTGTGATTTTGGCGCCTATAGGAGTTTTGGAAATTTTAAACCCTTCACTGTTGTTGGTGTCTATAGGCGCTTTGGAAATTTTTTTGCACTGCGCCCTTGGCGCCTATAGGCACTTTGAAAATTTTCTCGCACTGTCTTTGGATTCTATAGGCGCTTTGAACATTTTTTTTTCACTATGCCCTAGGCGCCTATAGGCACTTTGGAAATTTTCCTGAACTGTACCCTTGACAGCTATAGGCACTTTAAAAATTTTCTCGCAGTTTGCTGTGTTGGCAACTTTTGGCACACTTTCACCTTAACTTAATCCTCAATTTTTACCCTTTGCGCACTTCCACTTTAATTTAATAGAATGATAAATTTAAAAATTTTAATTCCTAATTTGAATTTAAGTTAAAAAATTTTTTAGAAAATTTAAAATACCAATACAGAGGTAGATTGTACCGTTTATTTTATTATCAGATATCGATGAGTGCGCAAATGCATCGAAGGTTTGCGCGAATAATACCGATTGTGAGAACACCATTGGCTCCTTCAAATGCGTCAGCAGGCCTCAGAAGATGACGAAAGTCCTTCAGGACGAGGATTACGACGCCGAAGACGATGACGAGGACGAGGACGATGACTACGGCGAGGAGGAAGATGTCACAGAGATTCCAGAATTCGGAAAATGCGAGGAGGGCTTCGTGAAAAATCAAAACGGCGAGTGCATTGGTTCGTGAATTTATTAATTTTCACATAATATGTAATATTCCCTGCCAAACGTGGTATACCGTGTCCCTTTTTTTGTTAAACAAAACATTTGCAATTTTAAAATCTACGGCAATTAAGGAACGAGTCATACATTCAGCGCGACACGAAATTCATTTGAAACTCGAGGAAACCGAAATTGTACGTAGTAATTAGTAAAAAATCAGGATAAAATTATTCTATGGCAATACATGTGCACCACGGTATATTGCCTCAGACAGTTGGTTCATTTTTAAAAGCAATATTGCTTTCATACTCGCGAGTATACGAATAATTAATAATACAAGTTCAGCGTGTTTCATTAAAAACATTTTTGACGAGCATTATTAGCCATGAAAAATTCTTCCGAATGAGGAGATGAAAGTAGCTTGATAAATATATGTTCAACAGTAGACGGACCACGTGATTAACAAAAAAGAAAACTGTAAATATTAATCTTCGTAATAAAAAATTCTAAAATCCACACTTTCGTACATTTCACCATATCGAACTGTTACGCTAAATTTGTAATGTTGCTATCTAATCAAAATTTACAAAATCATGCAACATTTTAAAAATCTCAGAAATCTCGAAAAAATTTTTTTGAAAACTACTATGTATACCAAAGTTTCATCAAAATCGACGATTTGGTATCACTTCAGGATTTTCCCTCGTCAGATCCAAGCAGACACCTGACAAAAATTTTACCTCTTCCATTTATCGTGAAACAGTGTTAACCCACGTTTCCTCCACTCCAAACCAGCCGTTAATGTTCCAGACATCGACGAGTGCGTAGAAGGGGACGACGGGGATCCCCATGGTTGTCAACACGAGTGTGTAAACGAACCTGGTGGCTATTACTGCGTTTGTCATACAGGCTTCGATCTCCACGAGGACGGTGTGTCCTGCAACGACGTCAACGAGTGCAATAAAACACCTTCCCTCTGTTCCCATGGCTGCAACAACACTCTAGGCTCCTACGTCTGTACATGTCCCGCAGGATTCAGTCTGAAGGAAGACAATGTCACCTGTGGTCGAGCTAGGACCTGTGAAACTTTAACAACACCGTGTTCTCACGAGTGTCAAGAATCGGAGGACGGTCCTATCTGCATATGTCCTAGCGGATACCAGTTGCAAGAGGACGAAGTTAGCTGCACGGACATAAACGAGTGCACTTTGGACTTGTGCTCCCATTCCTGTGTGAATTTAGAAGGTAGCTTCGTGTGCACTTGTCCGGATGGCCTGGAGACGGTGGAACACGAGAAATTCAATTGCACCGACATAGACGAGTGTGCCAGAAGTGTTCACAACTGTGAACACGAGTGTACGAATGTTCACGGGAGCTTCACTTGTGCCTGTAGACCTGGGTTCCTGTTGAACCACGACAGAAACACCTGTTCCGATATCGACGAATGCTCGAAGGACGAGCACAAGTGTGGTCAGGTGTGTGTCAACTCTGTTGGAAGCTACAGTTGCTCGTGTCGCGAAGGATACAAGCTCCTGGAAGATGCTTTCAACTGTGAGGACGTGGACGAGTGCGCTGGTAACCAACATGGTTGTTCCCATGGGTGTGTCAACGAGGATGGAAGTTACAAGTGCAATTGTCCCGTAGGTTTTCTGTTAGGCAACGATTCCAAGATGTGTCAGGATGTGAACGAGTGTCTCGAAGGGATTCATCAGTGCTCCTACGAGTGTGTGAACGTGCAAGGTTCTTACGAATGTAGATGCCCCGTTGGAATGACTATTTCCAACGATAACAGATTGTGTACCATGGTTGACGTGTGTAGTTTGGCTAATTGTTCCCACGATTGTCAAAGGGAAGGAGATACGTTCAAGTGCAGCTGTCGTAAAGGCTACGTTCTAGAAGACGATGGAAAAAATTGCAAGGACTTCGACGAGTGCATTGAAGACGAACACGACTGTTCCCACGACTGTGTGAACACTCCAGGAAGTTACAAATGCACCTGCCCCGAAGGTCTGAAACTTCTGCAAGATGGTCTGACCTGCGGGGACCCGGTGTGTCCTGAAGGACTTCGTCAGGATGACAAAGGCCAGTGTCGGGACATTGACGAGTGTCTAGAAAACGATCACGAGTGTTCGCATATTTGTAAGAACGAATATGCCACTTATCGCTGTTCCTGTCCTTCGGAATTGACATTATCCGACGATGGTATCACGTGTATCATCAGCGATCCTTGTTCCAAAGCTCTGTGTTCCCATTCCTGCGTTCCTGATGGTTCGAACCACAGATGTAAGTGTACTTCAGGGTACAAACTTGGTAACGATGGTGCAACCTGTGAGGACATCGACGAGTGTGAAGAGAAATCTCACAACTGCAGCTCTATCTGCAAGAACAACGAAGGTTCCTACACCTGTGAGTGTCCAAATGGATTCAGACTCTCGGAAGACAACCAAAATTGCGTCGACATTGACGAATGTGCCGAGAAAAGTCACAACTGTCTTCACAATTGCATAAATCTCGAAGGATCGTACGATTGCTTCTGTCCAGAAGGCCACGTGTTCTCCAAAGAGACATTCTCGTGCGAGGATATCGACGAGTGCCAAACTTCGCAACACAACTGTTCACAACTGTCTTCACAATTGCATAAATCTCGAAGGATCGTACGATTGCTTCTGTCCAGAAGGCTACGTGTTCTCCAAAGAGACATTCTCGTGCGAGGATATCGACGAGTGCCAAACTTCGCAACACAACTGCTCCCACGTGTGTACAAACACCATTGGTAGCCACAACTGCACCTGTAGACCAGGCTGGATCCTCAACGACGACCTGAGGACCTGTGAAACCGCGAACAATCTCAATTGCTCGCACACGTACGAGCAAGACGGCGACGAGACTCGTTGCGGTTGTCCAGAAGGCTTCGAGCTAGAGGACGACGAGAGAACTTGCAGCGACGTGGACGAGTGTTCGCAGGAGCTTCACTCTTGCAGTCACAGTTGCGTGAACACCAAAGGCTCCTACCTCTGCGAGTGTCCCTCAGGCTTCGAACTACAATCGGACCGAATAACCTGCGAGGACATCGACGAATGCATCCGCAACAACGCTGGCTGTTCCCACAACTGCGTCAACACCGAGGGCAGCTTCGAATGTACCTGTCCGGAAGGATACGAGTTAAGCGACCAAAAGAACTGTCAAGACGTCGACGAGTGCTCGAGGAATCTTCACGAATGCTCTCACCGATGCGAGAACACCGACGGAACGTACGTGTGCTCGTGTCCAGAGGATTTGCCGCTGGGACAGGATAATAAGACCTGCTCCAACGTGGATCCGTGCGGATTCTCTCACAACTGCAGTCACACGTGCGTGAACGTCCACGGTGGTTACAAATGCGACTGTCGCGCTGGCTGGAAATTAAGCCAGGACGGTCGTACGTGCGAGGAAATTGATTTTTGCGTCGGTGGACAGCACGGCTGCTCCCACGAGTGTGTCACCGGTCCAGACGGCTTCCAGTGCAGTTGCCCGGACGGTTATGTTTTGTCCGAGGACGGGAAGAGCTGTCTGGACAGAAACGAGTGCAAGGAGGCGAGCGAAAACGAGGTAAACAACAGCTGTTCCCATTCCTGCGTCAACACCGAGGGCAGCTTCGTGTGTCGCTGCCCGACGGGCTATCGACTGGCCGACGATCAAAGGAGCTGCGAGGACGTGAACGAGTGCATCGAGGACAACGGTGGCTGCTCTCACCTTTGTGCGAACATCGAGGGCGACGTTGAGTGCGCTTGTCCGGATAATTACAAGCTACTCGAGGACGACAGAAGGACCTGCGTGGAGATCGACGATTGCTTGATCGACAACGGAGGTTGTTCGCATCTGTGTCATTACGAGAACGGCACTGTCTCCTGTTTCTGTCCTCCGGGGATGATCTTGGAGGACGATAATGTCACGTGTACGCAGGAGAACAAGTGTTACGTGGAGAATGGCGGGTGTTCAGATTTGTGCAACTCTGAGGACGGTGTCGTTTCTTGCTACTGTCCACCTGGAATGATCTTGGAGGATGATAACGCGACTTGTAGGGTAGAGAATAGCTGTTACGTGGAGAACGGTGGATGTTCGCATTTTTGTAACTACCAGGATGGAAATGTATCCTGTTCCTGTCCTGCCGAGATGGTCCTGTCTGAGAACGGTACTCTGTGCGTGGAAGGAAACAGGTGTCTGGTGAAGAATGGAGGATGTTCCCACGATTGTTATTACGAGAACGGAGAAATGTCGTGTCTCTGTCCGCGTGAAATGATCCTTTCGGAAGATAAACTTCTTTGCGTCTACGAGAACAAGTGTTTCGACAATAACGGCGGTTGCTCGGACATCTGCTCCTTTTCGAATGGGTCCATCAGCTGTGAGTGTCCTTCTGGGTTCAGGCTTTCGACGGAGGATAATGCTACTTGCGTCGACGTCGACGAGTGCCTCGAGCTTTTGGACAATTGTACACACAAATGCAATAATACCGATGGGGGATTCGACTGTACCTGTAACGAAGGGTTCACTGTGAACCCTGATGAACCTGCTTTTTGCGACGATATAGACGAGTGCGAGGATTTAAACGGCGGATGTTCTCATACGTGTCTGAACTTCGTTGGATCGTCTCGTTGCGCCTGTCCATCGGGATACGTTCTTGAGAATAACAACAAAACCTGTAGGCTGATCGATGACTGCAAGCAGAACAATGGCAACTGTTCGCATCACTGTCACCACGAAGAAGGCACCGAGAAGACACACTGCTCCTGTCCTATAGGCTTCAGACTGAAACAGGATCAGAAGACCTGCGAGGACATCAACGAGTGTGAAGAATTCGAGAACGACGTGGATTTGGGTTGCTCGCATATTTGTGTGAACACAGGGGGAGGATACTATTGCGAATGTCCATCAGGATACATTCTGCTACCAGAGGACAAGAAGTATTGCATAGACGTGAACGAGTGTCTAAATAGCCAGCATAATTGCAGTCACGATTGCTTGAATCTGTTAGGTAGCTACGTGTGCACCTGTTTCGAAGGTCACTATCTTCATTCCGACAAATCTACCTGTTTAGACATCAACGAGTGCCTCGAAAAGAATGGCGACTGCTCGCACGAGTGCACGAATACCATCGGTGGCCACTTTTGCTCCTGTCCATCGGGCTACGAGCTCTCCCAGGATGAGAAAACCTGTGTCGACGTAGACGAGTGCAAGACAGGAGTAGCCGATTGTTTCCACGAGTGCGTCAACACGATAGGTTCGTGGAATTGCACCTGTCCGGATGGCCACGATCTAGCGAACGATTCCAAAAGCTGCCTGGTCGTCAACGAGTGCGTGGTGAATAACGGAGGCTGTTCTCATAACTGTTTGAACGTAACTGGAGGCGTCGAATGCAGTTGCCCAGTTGGATTGCAATTGGACGAGACTGAGAAAATTTGCAAGGACATCGATGAGTGCTCGGTTGAAAATGGCGGCTGTTCAGATATCTGTGTCAATACGGAATCCAGCTATTCCTGTGAATGTTCCCCTGGATTCCACTTGCACACGGATTCTCACTTTTGCTTGGATATCAATGAATGCGAGATGGAGAACGGAGGTTGTTCCGATAATTGTATAAACGTGGAAGGCAGCTATCGTTGCGAATGTCCAGCAGGATTTATTTTGAAGGAGGATCAGAGGTCTTGTACCGATATGAACGAATGCGAAAGTAACAACGGAGGATGTTCTCACGTGTGTATCAACGAGCTGGGATCTTACAGATGCGATTGTCCGGTTGGCCGTGAGTTGAAGGATAAATCGTGCCACCCTGTAGATCTCTGTGCCAGTAACAACGGCGGCTGCGAGCAGATTTGTAATACGAAGAATGGATCGGTTGTGTGCACGTGCAGAGAAGGCTTCCGCCACGATCAGACTAATCGCTCGAGGTGCAGAGATATCGACGAGTGCGGTGGCCAGCATGGATGCGATCAGCTGTGCGTGAACACTGTCGGCTCGTTCGAGTGCAGATGCAGGGACGGCTTCGAGATGCAGAACTCGAGTTGTGTCGGTGAGTATTGGTTGCTTTATGGGCGTGTTTCTTTCGTTTCGACACGTTCCACCAGTGGCACGCGACAGTTTATGGAAGTAGAACTTTCATTAGGTGAAGAAATGTACTCTTGGATTCAAGGCTCGAACAAGATACGTAGAAAAGTAGATTAAAATTACGAGAATGTAATACTATTGACACTTTTTCATTTTTCTTCAAAGGTCTTCCTAAATTCAGTTTTTTTTTAAATTTTTCCTGTGACATGGAACTTGTTAATGTTAGTTTAAAGCTGGAGGATATATTGCATTATTTGGGCTTTCGAGATTTTTCCACTTTTTGCAAGATTTTCGAGATATGTTCAATTATTTAGTTTTCTAAGAATTAAGGATATTTTAGGTTCGAAGGATAGTTGAAGCTATATAGACCCTCGAGCATTGAGTTGCTTAATTATTACTTAAGTTAGGAACTTTCATTCAGAATTGTCATTTAGTTAAGAATTTTTGAAGTTCTAAATTTAATTTAAATTATTTAAATTTTCAAGCTTTCCAAAATATACCGAGTTCTTCAGATCATCAGAATTTAAGATTGGATCGTCTTATCTGAAATGTAAATCATATCGATATAAAGAATTTTTATTATGCAAAAAAATTGACTAAAAAGGACATAATCGACTTTTTACAGTGCCGTTGTGAGTTATACACAAATGTTAATACAAAAGTAACTCCTTTTGTCCAGATTATGATTACAGATATACGCATATTGTACGTAAGTCAGATCACTAGAAGGGGTTCGGTATTTTCTGCGCATTTTTCTTAAGGCTTTCATTTTCTTTTTTTTTTCCCCCACGTAACCAAGTATTGCTTGGTGTTGGAAATTAGAAAATCAGGTCAAGGAAGATTAAACGTTTACAATGTGCTTTTATATTCGCCTCCCTTGCACAGGTGGAGTTATTGCTAAAAGAACGGAAACATAATAGCTCACCTCGGTATTTCACCTTTCTTACCGTCTCGAATATATTTGTTACCGCGCTGCTTTTCCATTAAAGTTCCGTTTCCTGTTCTTCGCGTTCGCATTCTGTAAATTTATTCATAATTACAACAAATTGATCACTACCACCGCTGCCACGAGTAATATTCAGACGAAGAATTAGTATTCAAATGTGCGAAGTTTCAATCTTTCAGAGAATGAGAGCGAGTTTTAAATAAATAATCATTTCAGTATCGTCTTTCAAGTTCCATTTGAGTCGTTCACAGGCCAAAGTGGTTATCTCCACTTTTCGAACTTTTTTAAATTTTAGCGCCAAAACACTTGCTCGATACTTATCTTTTCATATTTAAAAAGAATAATTAAACACACTTACCAGAATTTAGCTAAGAATTTTTTTAATGCAACGGTACAAAAAATATTAAATTTAAATTACTGTATACAATTTCATCAAATTTTTCTGCGTTTTGTTTCGTTGAGTTGGCTGATTTGGCAAACGAGCGGCTC